TTGTGGCAAGATCCCTTTGTCAGTGTTTGGAGTTTGTATCTCTGTTTAAAAAAGAAAATCATTAAGGCTTCTTTAATGACTTTTAAATCTTTTGTACTAAATGACACCTACCACAACATAATTCCTATAGCACCTTATAGTTTATAATGAACCTTCATATGTATTATATTGCATATTCTTTAAAAACAACTTATATATTAGGCAAGTCTTAGTTATTTTTATGTTGTGTAGTGAATTTTCCATAAGTGCACATTTGCAGCTTCAGTGGAGATTGGTTATCACTAAGCTTGTGTGGGTATTTTGTGATAGATATTAAATTCAAATTTAGATATTCTGATAATGTATTATTATTTTAATAATGTATAAAACATCTCAAAGCAACTCACATTGCTTTTCCCTGTTGTTTTTAGGGCTGTTTCTGTATAACTTATGAAGAGATTGGGAATGTAAATATATTTGCCATTAACGTTTTTAATCAGATTTTTGTGGTCATTTTAAAATACTTTTTGGGAATCCTTTCTGAATTATTTTATCCTTTTGATTTGTGTTAATCATCCCAGAAATTTCTTTTTCCTTAATATTATTGGAGAATCTTCTTCCCAGGCATTTTAAGCCAGGTTAATTTGAGAGCTGAAGTGCTAAGACTATACTGTTCTAGTCCAGCTTTAAACATTACCATCTCCTTTGAAAACACTATTAAAACAAAGCAAAACAACCACTCATTCATTATGTGTTCACATATGCATACAGACCCTTTCCCATCCCATCTATTCCTATTACTTTCTTTCCAAGATGACCCCTCACAGGTAGAAACCCCTTGTTCTTTATGTGGCTTGGTGATAAGTTGTGTGCTGGCAGGTTGGGGTTAGGGTTAGGCTTGACACAATGTAGAGTCATTTTAGAGAGAGAACTCTAATTGAAAATGTGCCCCTATCAGATTGGCTTGTGGTAAGTCCTGTGGTACATTTTCTTAATTAGTGATTGATGTGAGAGAGCCCAGACCATTGTTGGTGTGGCCAACCTTGGGTAAGTAGTTCTGGATATATAAGAAAGTAGGCATAGAAGGCTTGGGTAACAAGTTGGTAAGCAGCACCCCTCCATGGTCTCTGCTTCAGTTCTTGACATAGGTTCTTGCCTTCAGTGTTGTCCTGACTTATGGGCTTTATGCTGTAATAAACCCCATTCTTCTCAAGTTGCTTTGATCCTGGTGTTTATCATCATAATAGAAAGTAACTGAGATTGGATGGAATTGGGCAAGGCTGTTCAGAGACCTAAGCTGAAACTGACAGGTGCTTATAAGTGTTTGTGTGCTGTGATTCACATTTTGTGAAGTAGGTTTTGGAAGATAAATTACCTTTTCTTTAATGCATTTCTTCAAGGAGTTTTCTTTATAGTGCTTTAATTGGGAAACTAAATGAACATTTGTAATGACTTATAATAAATTCTGTCATGACATGTCCAAGTTGTTACAGAAACATTTTCAGGATATCTCTTCATATTGTGCGTGAGTTTTCTTCCATTGAAACATAGTTTAGAAAAATTGTCATTTATTGTTTGTTAGTAAAATGAGAATTGGGGGAGACTGAAAGAAATGTGTGTGTGTGTGTGTGTGTGTGTGTGTGTGTGTGTGTGTGTGTGTGTGTTTGTGTGTGTGTGTGTGTTTATGTGTGTATGTGTGTGTTTGTGTATGTGATCAAGTAGCTCATTAAGAGTGAAAACTAGATTAATAATTTGTCCACCTTGGCTTTTACTGTCTTTTTCCATATGGCATGAGACATATGTTAAGAAAACTTATACTATAGAAAGATTTCACTTTATTATGGAAGCGACAGTGACAATGAACAGGGCAGGAGCCATTGAGTTTTTTGAGAAGCTGATGCAGTGATTTGTTGAGAAAAGAGGATGATGTCAAATCAGGTGCCCTCCACCTGGGCAGCAGAAAAATGTCCTTAGGTGATAATAATTAAGGATATTGGAAAACAAAGATGCTGATAGATTATGTTTGCTTTTGTTTGATAGTGAACAAAGAAATGTGCCAATAATATCTAGTTTTCTGTCTGATGTGCCATCCATATTAAACACACACACACACACACACACACACACACACACACACACACACACACACACACATATATATGCATGCCAGGTTTGGTATCACACATACTTTAATCCCAGTACTCAGGTGGCAGAGGCAGGTGTTGCTCTGCAACTTTGAGACCATTCTGGCCTACAGAGCAAGTTGCAGAAAAAGTACCTGTCGTTGTCCTACTACACTATCTTTGCAAATTGTCTTGACTTTAGTTCCTTAGGCCATGATGCTTGAAAACTAACTCATGGCTTCTAACCTCCATTTTTGATGCCTAGTGCAACATACTATGAGGCAATTAGCTCTTACGCTGCTTCTAGCACCCTTAGCAAAACTATATATTCAATGTAGAGATGGAAAGTTTAGTGACACTTATCTTCTATCTCTAATGTCAACATAATTTTAAGAAGGGGCAAGAATAAATTACTGCAACGTGTGAGCAGAGACTATGTGTATAATTATTTCAAATTTTATTATTATAAAGCTACATGCTTTTAATTGAACAGAAATGCAAAGAAATCTTTGTTTTCATAGGACATTCTCTAGTTATTTGTGTATGTAACTCAGAATTTAAATCGGCTATTACTCTGCTTGTAGGGGACCAATATCCTCTTTTATTCTATGTAGTCATGTGTGCATATTCACACCCATGCACGTGTGCATGCACGGTCAGGCACATGCACACACACACACACACACACACACACACACACACGCACACACACGCACAAATTCAACATTTGGATTTATTTTATTTTCAATTATGTGTATATATGTGGGATATGTGCATGCAAGTTGAGGTGCCCAAGAAAGTCAGAAGAGGATATTGTCTCTCCTAGAGTTGCAGTTACAGGCAATTGTGAGCCAGTTTGCGTTGGTGCTGGGAAGCATACTAGAATCCTTTGCAATAGCAGCACACACTCTTAACTTCTGAGAGATCTCTCCAACCCAAAACAAATACTTAAAAAATTGGTAAGACCTGTAATCATGCTGAAACTAAAATATTGCTTGATCAGAGTAGGAAAGTCAAAGTTTATCTGTCACTAATAAACTAATACAGATTGCAATCTTCTAAGAAATCCATCCATGGGCTGTCTCAGCAGTCAAGAGCACTTACTAGGTGTTGTAGAGGACCTATGCAGCTTACAAACACCTTTACCACTATTGTCCAGGGATTCTGACAGCCTGCGGATTCTGGGGTAACTGAATATATGTGGTGCACATGCAGGCTCACACACATATACATAAAAATTTTAAATATAAACCTTTTCCATGCATTTAAGATATAGGGCCAGAGGACTCTTGAGTTGGAACTCAACTGAATGTTTTTCTCCTATTCACCAGAAGGCACCAGGCAATCATCTGAGGGAGTGAAACAACCAGCAATATTACTCAGCTGTGATGCCCATGAACCACAACAATAACCAGCATGTCACAGTAAACCTAAGGGTGCAGTTGTGACCCATAAACCTTGATGGTAACTGACAGCTCTCTAATTGGACTTAAGACCCACACAACAAGACAGACACCATTCCTACAACTGGAACCCTTACCAGCTCCTGAGGCCTATTGAAGTCATGGATCTTGAAGGAGTACCTATAAACAAACCATAACTTTACTAAAACAGCACAATCCCAGCTGCAATCTAAATTACCCACACATAGCTGTTGTTGTCACCCCTCATCAAAGAAACTTGTTTGTACCACAGACAGACAGACACCATTGCAGAAAACTACAAACAATCAACACGAGGAGTTGTAGAGCCCATTCTCATGAGATATTCCTGCAAAAACTGCACACCTAAAGCCCAGGGAACATTGTAGAAGAAAGGATGGGAATATTGTAAGAGCTAGAGGATCAAGGAGTTTGCTGTGAGACTGTCTTTTAGTAATGTCAGGAACTACGCCCATAAAGCCTCACCAACATGGATGCCTAAACATGAGCTGCACATAGACAATGAAAGGCATGCCAAAGAAGGAAAAGACCATGAGGCTCTAACCCTACACAAAGAACTGAAGGCAAATAAATAATGCTGACAGTAGGAGAAGTAGTCTTCCCCAGGGAAGAGCACACCAATTAGTTATCCAATACCAAATGATCAGCTTTGAAAACACACACATATATAAGTAACATAATGATCTATCATGTTATATTTAGTTGTATAAATAAGTACACATATACATACAATAATGTAAAGCATTTAATGAAAACAGATCTTGAGTTTGAAAGAGATGAAGGGTTGTATGGGAGGATTGGACAGAAGAAAGTAAAAGAGAAAATTATGTAATTATGTTAAAAAGAAATATTTTTTTAAAAAGTAAACCTTTAAAAAACCCACATATTTGCCACACTTCATCAAATATGTAAATTGACTTTTTGACTTGTATATTTAAGTTAGTTTGATCACAGTAGTTTCTTTTATAGTCAAGATATTATGTATATCATATATTTGATTTTTGTTGATATTTTCTCATATAATAATTACAGATCTTGATTTATAATGAAATAAACGGTGTTCAAAAATTATTTGTCAATGTTTTTGTTAACCGTGTACTCAGAAGTATACAGAGTCTAGATGGTAGATAGACTTTGTGATTGAACATTTTCATAATTTTAAAAAGCTAATGTAAATAAACATTGTTTATTTATAAATAGTAAAGAATGTATTGACATTTTTTGTTCTTCATTGACAGAAAAATCTGAAACATTTTTTCTGTTAGTCAAATAAAACTTTTAAAGGTAATACTAATTTGAAAAAAAAGTAGTAAAGATAAATGATAAATTCTAAGGTTTTAAAGCATATTCAGGTAAACATAAATTAGAGCAGACAAGGGTTTAGTAGCTATTTAGAACTTTTCTTTTTTTTTTTTATAGGGATTCTGGAAACATCAAAGCTGGATTAGAACATCTGGTAAGCTCTAAGTTCCTCTTGAACATTTGCATCGTCTTTGATATCTGCGGCCTGAATGAACACTTTTGGATGAGTTTTGAATACCTTGTAGTGAAAGGCAACCAGTTCCCAAAGGCTCAGCCTACTGGCATTATGTGAAGGCACTTACCTTTTCATTTATCTTACCATTTCGAGGGAATTATTTTTTTTTAAGTTAGTTTCTTTTTTTGATGTAGAGATGAAATAAAATGAATGACAATCCTTGGATTGATGATTGCTTTAATTAGAAGCAAAAATAGGTGTAGAATTTTTGTCATATCTTGATCTGACGCAAACAAGCACATGTTTCAAGAAAAACACAATCAAATATTGCTTGTATAAATGTGTATGTCCCAGCAATTTCACAGCTATGTTTTTCCTGTGTCTTTCTTTATGAATAATGCATTGGTTTAAACTATATTTGGTTTTAGTATATAAAATAATTGAGATGCACAATTTTGTTCTGAGCAAGCATTTTTAAGAAACAAATGAAATTTAAACTGATCAACCATTAAAATCTGTCCACTGATTTAAAAAATTGGAGCGGCCCCCTTATAACAATTCACTGAATTGACTGGATAAAGTGTTCACTGTAGCATTAAGTAGTTCGTTTAAACAGAGCCTTATAAACTCATGCTCTCGTTTCTGGTCAGGTCCAAATGTTGAATAATTAATGGTAGTGATCTTTTGTAAATACAGTCTAAGTACTTTTAAAATTGAGAGGCTTCATTCATATATCATACTTTAGCTTTGTTAACTATTAATGTACTTTTGTTCTTGCTTCCACAAAAGGAAAACAGTGGCAAGAGGCAGCTTCATGTTTTAAAATTACTTTTGCTGTTTGCCAATTTCATGGTTGTATATAATGCATTTTCCTTACTCCCTCCTTTCCTGGCAGCTTCATTTTCACTCACAGAAATTTCAGAGTTAGAAAGTTTTTCTTTGAACAGTCGAAGGGACTCAAGAAACCCTAGATCTTTTGAAATATTCCTTAAAAAAAACCCTAATTTTTGAAAAGCTATGTAACTTAATTAGTAAAGTTTAGCAGTGTTGGAAATAAGTAAATAACATTGTCATCTTTCAAAAGTATTCTCAAGATTCTATTATCACTTAACAATTACCTAAGTAATTTAGTACCTAACATCAGAATAAAATGTTAACTGAAGCATCAAGTTCCTGTATCAATTGTTAGTTTATATCAAATGATATGCAACTATAATATTAAAATTAACTTTTAAATTATTATTTAATTGAAAATTTTAGGCCTGTGAATGACTCAGTAGGTAAATCCAGTATCACAAGACTTATTAAGCAAACTAAACCCCATGTGCCCATTTTATGGACAAAGAGACCAGACTCCCAAATGATTCTTTTTGTTAAAAATAAATCAATGTAATAAATAAATGAATACACCCCTCTTTATTTAATCTTCCATGTTCCTCAGAAAATAATAAATTTGATTTTTTAAAGTTTAAATTATTCTGACAGGCAGAATCTCTTTTTTTAGTATCTGTGCTATTACAAACATGTGGAGGTCAGAAGACAGGTTTTCTAAAGTTGCTTCTCCCCTTCCACATACATGTCCTTTGGGGGGTTGAACACAGGTGGTGAGGCAGTGCAGAAAGTGCTTTTACTCACTGAACCATTTTTATGACTTCTTTATCCCTAGGGAGTTTCAATTCATATTAAGTAAGTGCATAGATTAGAGTTTGATAGATATAAAAATTTATACTTAATATATAAATATTTGTCAATTTTTTTTTTGAGTAGATCATTATGTTGCTTTGAACCCAAGGTCTTTCTGCATCCTTCTCCTGAATACTGGGATGACAAGTACCACCATACATGGGAAGATGTGCAGCTGTGCACATACACACATGAAAACACACACAAGCACATGACGCATACACATACAGGTTAAAAAAAATGAGCCTTCAACTCCAATCCAAGCCACAGAACTCATTGTCATTTCCCTTGTTGTACTTGTCTTTCCCATGTCAAAGTGAGAACCCTGATTCTTAACATCACTATATCTACTCATGTGCTGAATTATATGCATTTACAATAGTTTCACAATTATTATGTTAGTCATTTGAACTATAGTTGGATCCCTTTCATTTTTGTTTGCATCTGGCTTAAATGCTTTTGTTGGGTTCATTATAAACTAGAATATGTATGATATGAACTTGCTTCCAGAGGTCAGAATCATAAGCTGGTATTCTCAGATTCCTGTCACTCCCTAGCCTGTTGTCTACCCATTTTTAGTCAGTCAATTTTAATTGACTTCTAGTTCATCCTTCCAATACATATTATAACAAAGCATGTTTGCATATGCCCATTCTGTTTCTTTCTCTTTTCCCTTCCCTCCCTCTCTCCATCTTTCTCTCCCTACTCTTACCCCTCTCTCTCATAATAATTTGTTGAACAGTAGAAATCTTCAAACATTAAAGAAGAACTAGAGGTGAGTTTGAACACCATAACAGAACAGCCTTGCCTAACATCATTCACAGAAATGAGCAAACCCCAACCATAGAAAACTCAAATTCTCATGTAATTGTTATGAATGAATATACATCAACAATCATTCCATCAGAACCTCCCTTTAATCATAAGAAAAGAAAATTTATGTGGCATAATAAAGACTTGCAAAACTTAATGAAACACAATTCTTTTACATCTCTCAAACTTTTAAAGACCCCCAGAAAGCATTGGAAATGATTAAATGACTTAAACTGACTCTTTTATTGCAAATTGTTTTTCATATCAACATAATTTCCATTTGTAATATAAAAATACAGGTTTTTAAACAAGAATTTTTATTTGTTAAAACTAGATATTCTAAAAGGCTGTGTTTTATTTTAAAGGAACCTTCATGTACCAATATGTAGTTACAAAGAATACTAATTTGGGTTACATTTTCAAAACTCTTAGCTGTTAAATATTGAAAGCAATAATACATTCAAAAATAAAATGCCCACATAAGATAATTTTAGCCAGAGACATTCTTAAATCAAAAATTGGAAAAGCATTAAGAAAGAAATTCTCATATGTCATCTTATTCAAAGATTCCATTGTGTATCTTCTCATAGAGCCCAGATTCTCCCCCTATTGCTCCCCATTGTTAAGAAATATTTCAGTGCTGGAGATGTAGCTTAGTGGAAGATCCTGTGCCTAGCATGCTCATGTCTGTCAGCACCTCCCCTATTCTCTTTTATTGGCTGTATTCTTATTTCATATGATGTATTTGATAATAATTGTTTCACTCTCCCACATCCTCACAGATCTTCTCAACCTCCCATCTACCTCTCTCTGTGTGTGTGTGTGTGTGTGTGTGTGTGTGTGTGTGTCTCAAAACAAAGGAACAACAACAATAAAAAGGAAAATAGCAAAACGAACCCAAAAGCACACCTTTAAAAAAATAAATATATAAGTGAAATTTTATGTTGGTCAACTACTTCTGAGCATGGGACCTTTCCTAAAGTGTGTAGATATATCCAGTGCTACTCAACTGAAGAAACCTGATTTCCCTCTCCCAGAAGGTATCAATGTCAAATAGTTTCTTGGTGACAAATGGATCCCTCAGTACAGTTGAGACAATCTGAAATAATTTCAGCTAGAGGAAAAGTAATCTTGTACTCTTTAGCTGGGAAACAAGAAAATCTTGGTACACTGCTGCAAAGTTATATGAGAGAATCAAAAGTTCTCTATTGAGGAGACTCCCTTCTTCCTTCAGGAATGCTGCACCTACTTCATTTAAGATTAGAAATCATGTTAAAGACACTGGAGTGCACTGTTTCTATGACCAGACTCTCAGCTACACTGGACACATTTGAGCCCCATGAATCAGCCCGCTTGCTCGATGTTTCCATGATATCATTTAAGGCATATGGAGAGATGGCTCACCCTTTGTAGGAACTTGCATTACTGGAGCCTGAATGAACTAACTTCAATCCCAGGAGCCCCTGTAAAGGTGGATGAAGGAGAGAACCAAATCCACAAACACCCCCCACATATGCAATTACATGTCTGCATACACACTAAATTACAATATTTTTTTAATTTTACAAATCAAATATGATTGAATGCATGAATAATTCAACTCACTTTATAAAAATACCCAGAGCTGCCAATGAAGCACCAAGAAAAAGGACTTTAAAGGGAGGATTCAGGACTTTTCTACAAGGCCATCCTTCTTAGGTTTTCTCTGATAAGACTTCCAAAATGACACTTGTATCTCTGACATGCTTTGAGACAAACAGTATCTGTATATGTTCAGGGAGAGGGAGCATTGCTGTAGTGAGCAGTTAAAAATCATGTTGCAAGATTTTGTGATTTTGTCTAAAAAATAGATATAATTTTCCTTTTAGAAAGTCTTATAGTGTGTAATACTTTGAAATTCTTTCAGTAAACACTGATATAACTACATGGGGACTAAGGAAGGTATTATGAAATAATATATTAGCTAAGAAGTATTATATGTGAGTGAAAAATTCCATTTGTACATGGCACAAAGCATTATAAAGAGCCCCATCTTTGGGTTTGTAAAGTGAAGGCCAAGATCATAGAAGACAAAAGCATTTCTAAATACAGTGTGGGTGATATAATTCAAAATATCAAGTATTTCAGACCTACCCTTCATGGTTTTACTCATAACATATTTTAAGTGTGAAGAATGTCTGGGTAGTAGTGTTTGTCTAGCAGGCAAGAGGTCCTGGGTTGGATCCTTGGTACCAAAAACAAACAAAAATCGTATCACTTGGTGTAGCTTTGCCCTTTTAGAAAAGTAAGAATATTATTTTCATAACCATCAGCTCTGGGTATCAGTTAACATAGCTGCTTTATTAAAAAAAAACAGTGTTTCAAGATAAAATATGAATGTGATATGTAATTAATGAAAAATATTAAATGGATAATTATAAGAATGACCAGATATGTATATATCCCTATTTAAATCCACATTCACTTAGATATTGATGTAATTC